TGAATCAAACTTTTACTGTGTTGTACTCCATATAAAGTTCTTTTTCATGTGAGGAAAGTCTTTTATCGCCATGCACACATAATTAGAAGATCCCTCCAATCTTTGTGTGCAAGCACTTACAGTATGTTCCTAGATTCGATTTATCCAAGTAAATAAATGACGAATTTGTAAAGTGAACACTTTTTTCTATTCTCATTGGTCATCAGTTTTCAAGTACTCCCTATTCTGTTGGGAATGACCGATTTTGATTTGTTTTTTTGGTTACCTAATTGCGGCATCTGCACATAGCGTGATAAGAATAACTTACGTAATGTGATTAGATTTCCTAATGCTGAAAATCACATTCTTTGTGCATAGTCAATTTCTTGGAGGAATTTGAGGAGAAATAACGCCGATGAAGATCATCAAGAGTTGGCGGAAATCACTATTACATATTTGTAATTAAAAATCGCTCGGTTTTTTGTTCCTCGGATAATCTTCTATGCCAAATGGAGAAGAATTCCAGAAATGGATATTGTCGCGTAAAAGATGGTAATTCAGCCAAAAGATTAGGAATTGACCATTCAATTACACAATTTGATTCTAACACCATATAAACAACCCTTTTTGCTTTATGAATTGGTTTAAAATCGTCCCTTTCTCATTTGATTCCTCAATTTTTTTTCCTCGTTTTCAATTTTTCGTTTTTTCTTTTCTTACGAAAAAAAAAAAGAAAAAAAAAAAAAAAAACGAAAATTTTGAAAACGAAATATTACCCAGGCGGTTAAGGGAATGTCTAATTAACCTTATTTCCTGCAATATTCCCATTAACACACCTTTTTTTCAACGAAAACATATCCAATACTACATTACCATATACATATATTTGAAAGGCCTGGATTTAGTCTTTCAACTATTCAACGATACAAGAACAATTTATCAAACGCATCAATCATAAAATGGGATTACGAAGAAAGAACTCGGAATCAGAAAAATTCTGTTTTTGCATTGGATTAGGTCCAAGTACAATTATATCATCCTCATTATGGCTGGTAATTATTCAGATCAGGTTTTTGCCGTTTTGATCACGTAGGAGTATTGAATATATCAATTCTTTTGAATTACACTCACTAATCAGCTGGAAGGTATTGCGATGGTGGCATGGATGGCAGTGGCATATACTTCAAGTAATAGGAACAGCAGTAAGTTATCAACATACGTATATGATCAGTCAATCAATCAATCAATCAAACTGATATAATTGCACAACCTCTTATGTAGTTTTTGAAATCAAAAAGAGTTTATCGTTCTCCTTGCTTTTGCATTTTGCGATCCTGACGGCTCTCAGCATATTCGGACTTAGTTCGATATTAATATACGTATGCATCAATGTATTGGACTTCTTGCTTATAAAGTGGCTTTCAAATTTGTTTTGATAAATAAGCGACTAATCTTCATTTCCATCCTGCCTCCAATAATATTCTATTCTATAAAGAAATCAACCAAATTAATGATAACGTATAGATGGCTTGCCTGGATCTTGGCGGTACTCCTCAATGCCATCATGGGTACAGTCACCTTTATCTTGATCATATTTTATCAAATTGATGCATGCATTAGGAATTATGATAATTGTATGCAAAGCGCAAGCGATCAAAATACGTGCGCCAAAGAGAATAGTATGTGCAAACAAGAAGCAAACTCCACAATGGTTTGGGCGTGTGTTGCTATAATGTTTCAATGTATAATGCACGTAAGTAGGAAATTAGTAAATTGATGCCAGCATTATTTCAACCTTTTGTACTTACACTTTTCATCTATTTGGGAAAAGTTATACTTTACGATTGTACTGCGAAATTATGTTAGGTTACATATCGACAAGGAAAAGGCCGAGAGACGTTCTAAAGTAAAAAGATCAATGTCCGGAACGAAAGTACCAAAGAAACTCTTGTTGAAAATTGACAAAGCCTATGATGATATTAGTCAGATACCATAATGAGGGATTTTCGGTAATTCCTCAGCACTTGTCATTGTGCGCTGTTAAATTACAGCGGATGACAAGGGCGATGTCTCGTTGATTTAGACGAGACTAGATTTTGCCGTTTTTTTTCTAAAGCCTGAGTTTTCCTTCAACGATTTGAAGTTGGATATGATAATGATTCCGTGAAAAAAAGTAGCTTCGTTCACCAAATCTATTTCCACATTCCGCTCGCATCAACCTCGTTCATAACATAAATCCACTATTCCCTTAATCACCTAAATGCCACAATCCCCTAGCTGCTAATATTTCTGCGAAGAAAAGGTTACCAATTTGACTTGAAAGTTGGCCTTTTCTTCAAAATCAATCTTTTCGAAAGATTCTGAACCCATATAGATTATGTATGTATTTTTCGAAATAAAAATTATAACTTGATGTATTACTTCTATTATTATTATGAACAAGGTTTAGCTACTGTATGTAACGTGCTGCTCGAACGTATGTGTATAATGTATTCGTTTGATTAATAGACCGCTATTTGGCCTGGCTGTAGGTTATTACAAAATAGTAATAATAATAAAATGTAAATTTTTTGTTATATATAAAAATAAAATATTTTTAATCTGTTTTCATTAGAAATTTTTTATATGGTTGCTTTCAAAAGTTTGAGTCCACTTACTATGTCTTTATTATAATTTTCAACTTTAACAATTTTTAAATCATTAATTATGCAATCAAAAATTATAAAAATTATATACTGTATATTATATCTTAATACTTATTTAATTTCTTATATTTTTTTAAAAATTTTTTATTAATATCTTCTAAAGTTTTATTATTGTTAAATATCTTTATTTTTTTATTAATTATCATCTGATTTACAATAACAGTCAATCAAAATCTTATTATAACTAAATTTAAATTTAAATTTTTTTGTGAATATAATTTTTTTTTTAAAAAAAATAATAATGTAATATATTTTTTTAACAATAATAAAACTTTAAAAAATACATATAAAATTTTTTTGAAAAAATATAATAAATAAAACTAATATTAAAATATAATATATATGAAGTTTATAATTTTTGATTGTATAATTAAGGATTTAAAAATTGTCAAAGTTGAAATTTATAATAAAAACATAGTAAGTGGGCTCAAACTTTTGAAAGCAATTGTAAACAACATCAAAAAAAGAATATTTCAAAATCTTTTTTCAAATAATTTCTAATGAGAATCTAATGATTTTATCAATAAGAAAATTATAGAATTTTTCATAACTATCAATCTTTTGTAAGGGAATAAATTAAAGAATTAATAAATACATACTGTGTATACTGTATTTAAAATATTTATTTAAATTAAAACAAAATAAATAAATAAAAGTTAATAAATATTAAAAAAAAAAAAATCAAGTAAATTATTTAACATAAATAAATAAATTTAATTTTTTGAAAGTTTACATACTGTATATTATAAAATTGCAGTATTTATTAGTAATAAAAAAAAATTATTATATACAATATAATAAATTAATTTTTTACTTAAAATAAAAATAATTTTTAAAATCTAGTATAGACTAGATAAAAATGTTAGATAAAGATAAAGCTTTAATATTATATCAAGAAACCAATTTATTAAATATATTAAGCACATTGTATTCATTTAAATTATTAGAAACCAAAGAAGTGACTTCTACATGATATGTTTCTCTTTGAGCATAAAGAACAAGAATTTATGAAATTGTGAAAACTTTCATTTTCAATTGTTTTATAGAGAAGATTAGTTCCTAATCCGTAATAGGAAAGGATGAATCAGGATCGGGACCAGGAACAGGATTAAAAAGTCGATCCAAAATCAAAAGACAAGAACCGAACCAGAACCGAAGCAAGAACGAGGTCTCCTTTTGCGATTATCTTTTATTCCATCCGCCAATCAGATGGACTTTCTGCTGTGCGGGAAAAAAGGGAGACCTTTTTACTTTTATTGTAGGCGGTGCAAATTTACGAGGTCAGTGATGTGAAGTGGTGCCAGCGTAAAAGACGCCGTTAAGTGTGAAAAACGGGTATACTTGATTCTCAAACTCTGTTGTCCTCGTAGATTAGCGCAATGTCACAAATTTACGAGGCTTATCGAGTAATGCCGCTAAGAAAACATACGTACATCGCGTTCACCATATTAGTAATCGCTTTGATAATCGTTCTTATTTCCATTGAGAAACCAATTTTGAAAGGCAAGCGAGAAATGGAAGATACTCAATTTTCTCTTTGATCTAATAATACTCACCTTGAATTTGATACGCACACACAGTCTTGGCACCTTTAGTTGAACGCATTAGGAATACGAATTATAGTTTCTTAATCGTAGGCGCGATTATTATCGCCTGTAGCATACCGCCAATTCCAGGGTACATATTTCACATTGCACATTTGGGCTTGAATTATCAAGATCGTTATCGTTGACATAAAAAAAAAAAAAAATAGGTACGGTCCAATGATATATGTATGCGGATTTTTATACGGATTTCCTCTTGGATTCTTACCAGCATATGTGTTTGCACTGATCGGTGGCAGCTTAAGTTTTGGGTATTTTTCATTAATCGATTTCACGTTGATTTACACCGGAAGGAAATCAATTAACACTCAATAATCGTTGCAAAAAACTAAAACAAAAAAAAAAAAGCATATTTCGTTCTCTATGTATCGGATATGCAAGAGAACTTGCGAATAAAGGAGGAAATTATCAGAAATTGTCGATGGCTGTCGAAGAAGGTGGTTTCGAGGTTAGTATGTGTGCGTGCGCGTCTATTAAACTCCTTCACTCGGGTAACTTTCTTAACCGTGGCCTCAAATTTTTCATGGATCATTTTTCATAGTTCATTCTGCTATTGCGCTTGACACCGTTCCCCTACCCATATTCGAATGCTTTTTTCGCATCAATCTATTCTGTTAGCTTTTCGGATTTCTTTCTCGCCACTGCTCTCAGTTTGGTGAAATTATTATTATTTGTTTTCATTGGCTCAAGGTTTCAAAACCTCACTACGGAAATGGATCAAACATCACGTATAGTCGATTATGTATCGATTGCGGTTGGATTATCTTTACTCGCCTTTTCCGCATGGTACATTTACATGAGGATGTCATTGGTGGTTGAACAATCTAAAAGGAGATATCTTGAGAAGTTTGAGTCAGAAGACGAGGATCAAACGTCTTCGTCCGAAAGTGATGACGGTGAAAATGCCGAGTATTTTGAGGAGACGGCGTCTGAAGCTGGCGATCAGGAGAAGTTAAATCCTAATCCTTAGCCAATGATCCTAATATTGTTAATTTTTAATTTATGTGTTCTTATTTAATAATCAATAATTTTAATTCCTTCTGTAACTTGCCAAACATAAAGTCACCCTGAACAAAACTTATCTGCTTGCTGTATGTACACACAAAAGAACTAATTTTTGAAAAAAAAAAAAAAAAAAAAATTTTTGAGATTGTAACGTGTTCTTTTTTCTCGTGATCTATCATTAAATGACATTACGCGTGTTTTCATTGGACAGTTGGCACGAAACCTTATTGGTCGATCGTTATATCTTATGCCTCGACTTGAAAAAATTTTTTTCTCTCCTCTCTCAAATTGCCTGCTAATTTGTCAGGTAAATAAGGGAATGGATTCCGTAATCGTGATCTTGAAATGTTTTGTCGTGCACCCATGGACGCATCGATCGAAGGGAATTCTGACAATGAATCCTTCGAAAAAAAGATTATACATATATATATATATATATCGAAGCCATACCAATCCCTAACGATTAACCTATATATAATAAAGTTTTACAATTCCCTCCGACTTTGTAGGATGCAGATCTTTGTCAAGACCGACAACACCATCACTCTTGAGGTGGAGTCAACCGACACCATCGAGGCTGTCAAGGCTAAAATTCAAAGTAAAGAAGGTAAGTCGAGTTTTCATGCTTTTCACTCGAGTTGGCGACAACCTAACAATTATTGATTTTTTGCGATAGGAATTCCGTCTGATCAGCAACGTTTGATCTTCTCTGGCAAGCAGGTAACATGTTCATGATCAAGCTTTGTTGTATCGCCGATATTAACGTTTACCTCTGTCTTGCGTGGAAACGACTGTAAAATCCAGCTCCTGGATGACCATTCTCTTTCTTATTACGAGGTTCAGAAGGAATCCACCCTGCATTTGGTTCTCCGTTTGCTAGGTGGTGGTAAGAAACGTAAGAAGAAGACCTACACCACACCGAAAAAAGTCAAGCACAAGAAACGAAAGGTTAAATTGGCTGTTCTAAAGTACTATAAAGTTGACGAAAACGGGAAAATTACCCGGCTTCGTAGGTGCGTCTTTGTTTGAAAATCTAGTTACACCTTGCCAAACCCAAAACTACAAATTGACACATGGCTTATCTTAGGGAATGCCCAAATCAAACATGCGGTGCAGGTATTTTCATGGCGTGGCATTATGATCGTCAATACTGTGGAAAGGTGATATTACAATTTTGAATTGCGATTTTCTCTCGTTTTTTTTTTTTTTTTTTTTTTTTTGCTTTATCAAAGTAATAACAAATATGTTTTTATTTTTTGTGTGGGGTAACGTACGGCTTTAAGAAGGGAGATGGGGGGAGCTGAAATTTAAGATTT